AAACCAAGCAGACGGCTCCCTCCCACCTGCCCCGTGGCAAGCGCAGTTCTCGCGGACCGGTCCCACCGGGACGGGGACAGCGCTCTCACGGCTGGTGTGGTGTGGAGAGGTTCGGAACACTTCACGGAAGACGGGAACCGCCCGCGGGGGTCTGGACTCCCCGGCCCCCAAGAAGGACATTTCCTGGAGAGTGGCCAGAGGCCCAGGTGCGGTGGCGCCCTGCCCTTCTGGTCACCTTCCCCGAGACGCTGGTGCAAAAGAGCTGGGCCGAGGCCAACACAAGTCTGCGTATGCGATCGCGACGGAGCACAGCTCAGGGACGCGGCTCTGAGCAGGAGGCTGCCCCAGATGACCCAGCAGGCCAACCACAGCGACGTCTCACTCGGAGAGCGCACGCGCGCACCCACGCAAAGGGCGGGAGCCTCTCCAGGGGCTTACCGTTCCGGCTCATCCCGAGGAACTACTCGCCCATTCGGCGGGGGGAGGAGAGCCTCCGCGGGGCTGACCTCACAGACTCGGGAGGCTGGAGGCCCGTCATCTAGGAGGGGTCATCCCGGACTCGGACGCCGGCACTGCCCTGGGACGAGCCAGGGGGCAGACGGACACTCCAAACAGCACTTATCGGTTTCCCAAGTACAAGCCGCCCTGGAGCCTCTCACAGATTCTTGTCTGAAATGTGGCGTCCACAGGGGGACGCTCTCCAGATGACACTGTGTTCTCAGCGAGCCGGAGGCAGGGACACAGGGCCCGGAACATCTGGAAGTCCTGCTGTGACCTTTGGGAAGACACTCAAAACGCAGGCCAGAACGTGTCCCCAAGGCTGGGGATTAGCGTGGATGATTGTCCTCTCACAGGGAGATCAGAGGCACCCACGCAGGATCCCCTGGCGTCCAGCCCCCCGACTGCGGGGGTCCAGCAGGCGGCGACACCCCAGCTCCCGCCTCGGGGCACAGGTGAGGGCAGGGGCGGGAGGACGCGGGCCCTCAGGAGCCGCACCAGAACACACACCCACCCTGACCGGTGGGGGCTCGGGGACAAACACACGGCCTGCGTGGTTCCAGACGCTAATTTACAGAGCGCTCCAGAAGGAAGGCAGTTTTTACTGAACTTAGCACAACTTAGGCTGAATTTTATAAAAACAACCCAACTCGACTTTAGAAAAATCTAGCAGTTGCTCCAAAGGCCTTCTTGACAAAATCTTGCCCTGACTACCCAGAGATCCCGTCACCTGCCATCAGGGTAGCCTGTGAAAACCCAGACTGATGAGGACCTGACCCCGTGCCACTGAGAAACAGCTCGAGGAACCGGTGCTAAAGCCTCGGCGGACACGCTCCCGGCCCACGGCACATCCGCCCCCAGGGCTCCGGGTGGCCCTCCCTACCCCAGCCGAGACAGCCGACCGGAGCCGGCATCCGTGCGGCTTCCCCGTGGAAGCCTATCGGCCCATCCAGGCTACATTCTTAAGAGCTTCTGGGGTCTCTCCCGCGGGAAAAACACGGGCTCGAGGGGCCGACCGACGTGGCACCCGCCCTGGCTTCAGAGCTACGAGGCTTGCAGACCTGACGGGTAGGTCGGGGAAACCGCTCCGGGCCCGCGTCCTCGTCTGTCTCACCCACCGACACCAACCCCCCCGGGACCACCGCCGTGACAGGGTGTCGGCCCCGTGGCCGCACTCGGCGGCCGCCATCAGTTCTCTCTCTTTCCTTTACTTTCTCGACTCAATCGCAGAACCAGGGGATCTTACTTTCAACATAAGACCCCCTAACGGCAAACTCCCCTAACTGGTAACGATGGTGGCCGACAGGCAACCACACCGCTGAGCGCACAAGGAGCCGCCAATCTGCCACGCATTCCAGTTCCCTACAGCTCTGCGCGTCCCTCTGAGTGGCGGGACGCCCGATGGTCTGCCGAGCAGCGCGGAGTATGACGAAGGAAGAAAAACCACAACCAACGGGCCACCCGTTTGTTCCCGGGTACGAGGCTGGCGTCCGAGGCCACGAGCCGGTTACGCGGCACTCTTTAACGTACTGCTCTGACACGTGTTGTTACTGTGCCTCCTGGACAGTAAAACTGCACTTCTCTCCCTGACCTCCGCCCTCCCCTGACCCACTGATACCCTGCCCACGTGACCTAGTAAGGCTTCGTGGAACAGCCGCCTTGCGCGGGTCATGACAGCTTGGGGGAAAGGGTGGGGAAGGGACAGAGAGCTTAGTCAGGAATACAAGTTGATACGGGGAAGTGAGAAGTCAGGAAGGCTTCCTGGAGGAGATTACGTGAGCTTCAGGAACAGAGTACGGCGGGAGGGTAGGAAGGCGGGGAGGGGAGGAGGGCAGAAGGGCCGAGTCAGGGTTAACAGCCTAGACTCCGGCCATAGACACGGGTTCCGAGCTTTCTCGACCTCAGGGAAGTTACTTCGTTCCTTCGGCCGTGAGGACGCGATGAGAGAGCATTTAAGACTAGGAGGCGGCACGGTCACAGCTGCTCAGAACACTCCGCGACGCGACCCGACGCGACCCGATGGTCTGCGGTGAGACAGCCACCGCGCTGCGCACGATCACTTACCTTGAGAGACCCACAAGCCCGAGGAAAGTAGGTCATGCAAGCCTTCATCCCCTCCATCGCGGAGAGCTCACACTGTGGGCAGAACAGAAAGTGAGGCCGGGCCGGAGAGCCCAACGCGCCCACCCACACCCCACCTGCACGCCCCCACTCCCCCCGCCCCCGGCTCTAGCTCCACGGAGGGTAAGCGCTGTGAGGGCTCTCACCTCTGGCCTGAGGCCCAGCAGGGAGGTGAGGAGGCCGGGCAGGTGGTTCGTGGAGATGTCCCGGAAGAGCGTGGGCAGCTGGGCCGCGTACCGGAGTAGGTCCCTCAGGACGGCCACGGCCAGCTCCATCGTCGGGGGCGGGTCCTGGGACTGAAAGCAGCGACACCCGTGCTCCCAACCTCACCTCTGCGGTCGCAGAGAGGAGGCGGCGCGACACGGGGCTTCTGGGAAACACCACAGGGAAGGTCACCACCGGCAGCAGACCCACCAGGGAAAGGCGCGCTGGCGACACGGGGCACCCCAAGGCAGCGCCTTGGTCCACAGAAAGGACGCGTGTCTACATGTCAGCATCATGGGCGTCTGGGGGCCCCGAAATCTGGGAACGCGCCTTCCAGAGCCCACTGACGGAAGTCTCAGATCCTCCCGTGCTGCGCGTCCCTGCTAGGAACGGAGAGGAGCGCTTCGCACCGAAGCTTCAGCCGTAACAACACCGCCCCGTGTCGCCACGCTGGCTCCTGCCCGGCTCAGACCCACCCTGGACTCACGGAGGAAAACGCTGTCTGGATCTAGAAGGGCTTCCCAGAAGGAGCAGGAAGCACCTCTCTCCCGCCAGGCCAGAGGCCCCCGGCAACCGAAGCAGTAAGAACGCTTAGTGGGAAAGTGAGGGCGGGGGGCCTCCTCCGGTTACCCCACCGCACCCTCCCCTCGACTGGAACCTTCTCCACCACTGCCACAGTCACAGAGGACACGGAAGCCCAGCCACGGGATGCCCCCGGCTTCCCGCCGCCGCGACTCCCGTGCGAGGACCAGTCCCCTCTTCTCAGAACCTGACACCATCACCCGGCCCCAGGCCTGATCTCCAGCCAGTCCCCCCGAAGGACTCCCACGGACACTTAGCGGCACGCGGGTGCCCCCACCGGAAAACCCTTCTCCGAGCCCCTCCTGGCTCTGCCCAATTCCTCTCCATCTTGAAAGGATTGTCCGGCTTCCCAACTTCATTCCATCTCCCCACTCGCTTGCCCACCCCCGGGTCAACCCGGCCTCAGAG